TGCGTCACCCAGGCAGTCCTCCGGGCCCCTTGAAGTTTAATGGTACCAAACTTGTTAACGACGAACAACATCCTTGGAAGGCACTCCGGGATGGAGACACTCGTGGGCCTTGTCCTGGACTGAACACTCTCGCTTCGCACGGGGTATGTGTGTTCAAGCAGATTTCTGTGTGGGCAGAATTTGATAATATTTTGCAGTGGCTCCCTCGCAGTGGTATTGCCACACCAGTGCAGATTATCAATGCCGTCCAAGAAGGTGGGTAAATTCCGTATGCTCAGTTATAGAATAACGGCTAACGGCTTTGCATAGGTTTCAACATGGAGAATAGCCTCGCGAGATTTCTGGCCTACGCTGCGCACCTCGTTGATGGCAACCTCATCACCGACCAGCTTAGTATTGGCGGCAAGACTTCGAAGACGGGGCCCGATCCGCCGCCACCAGCGACCGTCGGTGGCCTAGATACACATGCTGTATTTGAAGGCGATGCCAGCCTGACTCGAGGTTGGTTTTGAAAAACATGGGAATAGATCAAGTTACTGACTTCGTGACTAGGGGATTTCTTCTTCGGAGACAATCACAGCTTCAATGAGACGCTGTTCGATAAGGTACGCATGACCAAATTTCTGCTGTAAAAAATAGGCACTGACATCCGAGCAATTAATAGTTGGCCGCATTCAGCAATAAATATGGTGCTGGCAAGTATAATTACACGGTTGCCGGCGAGCTCAGGTGGCAACGCATTCAAGATTCGATCGCGACGAACCCGACATTCTCCTTTGTATCGCCTCGGTACTTTACGGCTTACGCGGAGACCACGTTCCCCGTCAATTTTTTCATAGATGGGCGCCAAGGAGACGGTCAATTAGACCTTGATGTTGCACGCGGCTTTTTCCAGAACATGCGCATGCCCGACGATTTCCACAGAGCCAGTCAACCAATGAGTGGAGACGGGGAGGATATCGTTGTCAACGTTCACCCAATTCCTCCCGGTAGGAACGTCGGTGGGGTCAACAACTACGTTCCAGATCCGACGTCCGCCAACTTCACGACAACCTGCTTGTTGTACCAGAACTTCGTAAACCAGACCATCCGGGGCTTATACCCCAAACCGGCTGAGGCTTTGGTGAAAGCTCTTAATACCAATTTGGACTTCTTGTATGAGGCTTTCGGCGACGCGACGTGCGCGCAAGTTTTTCCTTATGGACAAGATTAAATATAGTGAATTTTTGTCGAATCCAGCTGACAGCTGGATAGCGCGTCTGTTTTATGTCGTTACATTGGTTATATATTAAATGACTCAGATTGAACCGTCTGTCAGAAAACCGAACAGGGGTGCCAGTATCCACCCACTAACCGTGAAGTTCTGGTGCCAGCGCTAGAGAAAATGTTGCTACAGGTAGGTTGACGTCACGAGAAGACTGATGTGAACATGCTTACATAAACATGGCAATGTCCAATACCTTCGAGTGATGACCCTCGTTGAATAGAAATGGATGGTCCACCAACACTCGTCGCGTCTCATCTGGCAGATGCGTCGCCTCTAGCCGACATTCTCACAGAGCAATCACCGTCGCCTCAACTTCTTGTCGCTTCTACCTCGAAGGGCTACCTATCCCACCTCGCCACCCTCCCCCTGACAGAGCTCGTTCAAGAACCAGTATCTCTTCAAACACAATCCCACCACCTGACCTCAAGTCTAACATCCTTCACCCACACCTCCTACCCGACTTTCATATCTCTCCACAAAACCACAACCGCCCTCGCGTCCTCAATCGAGTCTCTATCATCTTCTCTCAATGACCTTTTAGAAACGAGCCTTCCTTCGCTCGAGGAGAGCACAGGCGCGTGGAAGAGTAGAACAGAAGCCGTGCTACGGGAGCGCAACAAGGCGCGTGTTGTACTTGAGCAGCACGAAAAGATTAGGGATCTCCTTGATATACCCATCCTCATCGATACCTGTGTACGGAACGGCTACTTCGGAGAGGCCCTATCCCTCGCATCACACGTCACCACGTTGGCTAATAGACCCGACGATAAGCACAAAGACAGGCTACCACCTCCTGTGATATTGACCTCTGTACTTTCGGAAGTGCAACACTCCATCATGCAGATGCATTCATCTCTTTTGTCAACGTTGTACGATCCAAGCAGGAAACTGCCTGCATTATGGAAGGCTGTTAACTTCCTTCGAAAGATGGATGCGTTCGGGTCGAATCCATCTCTTCTACGCCTTGGTTCCCTCCCCCATCTCAAACCTATACGATCGTCTTCTCAGGATTCTCCAACGCGAGGTCGATGCCCAGAACCTTCAAGTGAGGAGCAGTTGGCACTAGCCTTCCTCATCGGGCGGGAGTCATGTCTAAAGACGATCCTCGAGACAAGTAGACGCGATATTCAACGACTTGCGAAGGAGGTTACTGCTAACGAATTAGACACTGACACCCAGGATGGGAGCGGGTCTCGGACCAAGTCAAAAGGGAAGGAAAAAGAACTCGACGAACGCGAAAAAGAAGATCTCGCTCGTTATCTCAAGAAATATATTGATTCCTGGCGAGAAGGCGTCTACGATATCATAACCCAATACGCCACTATATTCCTTGAACGTTCCTCCACCCATCCCGAAACGCCCACCAACACTGACGACGAAGATTTCTCTCGCCTACACACCCTCCTCCGTACATATGCCACGCGTGCACTATCCACGCACCTCTTCTCCATCATCAGGCCCTCCCTTCCACTCCTTGCACTTTCACGTCTCCCCTCCCTCCTCACGCAACTCACCTACTGCTCAACCGCATTTGCGCGTCTAGGGCTTGACTTCCAGTTCACCCTCACTGCCGGGGGTGGGTTATTCTCAACCGCAATTCTCTCTATCATTAAACGAGACTTCGACTCTGCTTCCGAAAAATGGATACAAAGGATAAGAAAGGCGCGTGGATCTACGGTGAAGCCTGGTTCGCGGATGTCAGCATATTCTCCAAGAGCAGCTGCAGGTCCCGCAGAGTTACCCTCCAAGTGGCTTGTTCTTCCGTCTTTAGCGACCTCACCGCCAGTCCCTCCTTCGTCGACTAAACGGGGGTCTGGGAGTAATGGACCACCGCATATACCACCCCAGATTCTCGCTTCGTACCCACCCCTTGCGGAATTGACGAATGCTGTTTTAGGCGTATTGAATGGTCTGCGGCTCCTTGTTCCTCGGCATCCTGGGACCGTAAATGGGTCTTCGACCACCGTCTCGGCGGAACCGCGAACGCAGACGGAGGGTGTATATGAACTTCTCCGAATGCTTGATGAAATCATTCTTACGCATGGGTCGTCTGCTTTGGTCGAGTATTTGAATCTGGTGATGGCGTCGTTAAAGGATGAAGATGAGGAAAAGGTGAAGGTGAAGGAGAGGGAGGAGAGAGTGGTTGGTGCCGCTGGTCGAGTGTTTTTTGATGTGTTTGTGGTGTTTGTGAGGAGGGCGTTGGTTGAGGGTGTATACGGTCTTGAGTTGGATGGTGTGGGAGCAAAGGGTAAGGGCGGGGAGGACCTGGGGTGGGTTGGGAAGAGGGAGGAATTTGAGAGATTGGTAATAGATTTGGGAGGCGATGAGAGTGAGGAGGATGAGGAGGATGAGGATGAGGATGAGGATGAGGATGGAGATGGAGATGGAGAGGAGTAAGGACAGTCTCCGGTAGCCGAGAATACACACATATTGAAGTGTCACTCTTTGTCTTTTCTGAACATATGCCGTTCGCATCTCAAAGTTTAGAGAGGACTCGATGAAGTTGTTTATTCCCCAGGCGTACCGACTAACGCAGCGGTAACGCTCACAACTCTGTTCGATTCTCAGGTTATTCGTATGGGATATATTTCTGATCTCATTTTCGAGGTAGTCTCGGGCCTCCATCGCGACGTACCTCGCCTGACTTGTGTGTGGTGAAGTCTCCGCCATCCCAGTCACGTATCGGCCTAAGGTCCATCAGAATACATCGTCTCTGTTAGTATATCGGTTAGTACACGCGCCTGTCATGGGTA